CATTCAAACCTTTGAGGACATACTAGTTGACAAAAAAAGAACAGAGGATTCAAATAAATGTCTTTAATAGATTATTTTAGCTTCATTTCATTTAGTGTGATTTTGGGTCCAAAGTGTTTGCCATTAACGTTCTAATTGCATGTTTGTCTTCCTTGTTTTCGTGAGGAGCAGGGGCAGTAGGAGTGAGTAGGGGAGAACAGGCGATGACTGGGGAAGGATGTGGCACTGATGAAGGTGACTGAGCTTGTTCCCAGTATGTTTCATGTGGGATGGCAGGTTTTCTAAATTCTAGTTTCCTCTGGGTCATCGGTAAGTCCAATAGAGGGACGATTCTAGCTTGATGTCAGATGTCCTGCTTAGCAGACTAATGAAGGACTTTTTTTAAAAAAAATATATATTTTTAACACAGATTGGTGTATTTGTATATCTTCAGTAAGTTTCAGTTTTAGCCAAGAAATAATCTTTCATAATGTTTTTCATGAGAAAGCATAGAATGATTTTCTAGAAAGTTTAATGGCAAGATGTATTAGATGAAAGGGAAACTTTCTTTTTTTTTTTTTGAGACGGAGTCTCGCTCTGTCGCCCTGGCTGGAGTGCAGTGGCCGGATCTCAGCTCACTACAAGCTCCGCCTCCCGGGTTTACGCCATTTGAAAAGGAAACATTTTTAAGGAGACCATGCTTCTTGGGTATTCTTGAGCCCTTGTCGTGTAGATAATAGCTGGTTAAACAGTTTTCATAATTGGAGGGGATATGGGAAACTACTCACTTAACTTGGAGTTGATATTTTTGGAGTTAATATTTTGGTGCTCTGGAAACATCTGAGTTTGGGACTGTACTGTGCACATCTCTCACTGGTTAAATTGCCCAGTCTCTCAGTGTCTTCTTAGGACTCTCAGTGTTTTATGCGCAGTCTCTCTGTGTCTTGTTACGACTGTTTGGCTCAACATAGTGTTTTGAATTAGCGATTAGTAAGTGGTAGCTGCTGCTGTTTTATTATTTTATTGCTTTATTCTGTGACTACAGACAGATTTAATTGTTGGATGTATTTCTTAATGGGATAATTATTTAAAAACATTCCCAGTTACTTTAAAAGCATATGTGAATATTAGCCATCAGTTTTGTCTTGACCATGCCTTTGGCTCCTTGAGTGTCCCTGTTCATGTGACAGCTTTCCAGCTCATCCTTAATGTCATACTCGAGCCGTTTATCTTAGTGAGGTAGTGTGGACCTAAAATGAAATAACATATATCAAAAGCACCTGTGGGGGAAAGCGCATCTGAATGCCAAGCAGTACTTAGTTATTGCAAGTGCTACTTCTACCAATATTTTTCTTCCTTTCTGCCCCTTTAAAGAGAGGTTGTCCCTTTTTAATAGATATATGACAGCTCTGCTTCCTTTCTTAAGTCTAAGATCAAAGGAACGTTGTAATAAAGGGAAGTCACTCCCTCCCATTCCTTCTCTGTCTTTGTGGATGTTGTTCTGTTTTTTAAGAGAGATCAGGTCTTGACATTAGTGGATGCAGCTGTGGGGCTCCCAAGCCCTGCCTTTCATCTCTGGGTCACCACTGCAGACAGCGTTCTTCATCTCTGTCATGTGTAAAGACACCACTGTGGGGGAACCGTGCCTTGCAGGTTAAGTACGTAAAGTATTTCTAGAGATCCTAGCCACTCGTTGTTGTTTGGATGCACCTTTCTTTGAAATGACATAGAATGTTTGGCAGAGATGTCGATCAATAGAATAGTTTCTCTGCTTTAGAGGTACTTAAACCTCACCAGCTTCTTGTAAATTGGAAGCCTAGCTCCAAAAAAGTAAAAGTGGTTGGGGGAAGAACGAAACTTTTACAGGCAGGTTTTTTCTAGACATAAACACAGTTGAATGGAAAGGATAATAGGGATCGAAGCCTGTCTTGCTCTATGAGAGTGAACGAGCTAGTGTTAGACTTTAATGCTGAAGAAAAATAACATCTACGTTTTATTTTTTATTTTTTAAGCGAGGCAGTCAGTGCAGTCTAACTGATGAAAATTAAAGGTCAATTTCTTCTGTGCTCCACCTCAGTGCATGCCTTGGGCCATGTTAATAATGACAATCCCATTATTTCCTTGCAGTAGGCAGGAAATGCTGTCTACACCCATTAGATTTGTTTGAGTGGCCCCTGGCTGGAAATGAAGAAAATTTAATTTTCTAATTTGTAGGGAGGAAAAAAAAGCATACAGTGCTATATAGAGGTTGATTCTTGGGCTGGAAGGAGCTGTCATTTTTAAAAACTTGAAATTCTGAATATTATTGGGACATTTGGCCCTAATCCACATTGAAATCATGTATGGACTTACGTGCAAGTTAGGTGTCTAGGAAACCTTTTAAAATATTGTCAGAATTGGCACAATTGTGGACGTTTTAACCACATGTTTGCAAACTGCCTAGTTGCTCACATGTCCCACTGGCTGCTGGAAACTTGCGTGAAGGAGGGCTTTGTCAGAGCTTTCTCTCAGAATATTAGTTTTGCTTTTCAGAAGCAACATTCATGTTGAAGAAAATCTGTATATTCATTAGGGTAATCGATTACTTTGTGGTTCCAATAACAACAAGAAAAAAATTATTAGTGTTACAGAGGAAAAAAATGTGAACCTGTCCTTGTACATTCTAATCATACTGCCTTGCAGAGTTACATTTCCTAATCTTAGGGCTGACTTGGTTTCTGCTACTTTTATGTCCTTTAAGAATGAGATCCTTAATTTTCTTTCTTTCTTTTTTTTTTTTTGTTTGTAGCAAGTTGATGTCCCTCTTACATTTTTCCTTTTTTGATAAGCCAAAGATTTTTATTGCTATTTTGATCCCTTATTTGGTTTATTGGGATGTTCTATTACAGATCCTCAGTTGGTATATAATTCATTCTGAGATACTCAATATCATATTTTCCCATGAAATACATAATGAGAAGAGGACCTTAAGTTGAAAGGACTTGCCTGAAATCAGAGGAGTAGCCAATACTACAAGAGGCAGACATTCAGTCTTTGTGTCTAGAGGAGGCAGAGTAAACCATCTTATTGTAATGGATCTGTAGTTTTCATCAAACAGAACCTCTCATTTTAGCATCATAACTTCCGGTCATATATTTGTTTTGTATTGACTGTACATATAGAGCTTCTTCGTTGCTTCTTGAAATGATATATTGGAAAAACAAGGAGTTTCTACCATCTTCATAGGAACATAGCAGTGAACCAAGAAAGTTTTATGAACATTTTCTTTTCTCTGTGTCTTAATTCCCAAAACCTTTAGCAGTTTGCCTAGAGCAGTGACCATTTTGCCTCTGACATTTTGTTTCTGGTTTTCATCAAAACCAACATCTTCCATAATGTTTATTTTCCTTATTTACTTGTCACTATAAATGCTCACAGGAAGCAGCAAAACATGGAATTAACTTTTTTAATAAGTGTAGTACTAGTGTAACTTATATGTGTGTTTTTTAAAAATACATTTTGATGATAGCATGTAACATAACACATATTTAGGGGAGCATTTTAAAAATATTTTCCAAATTTATATTTTGCTTAAAAGAGGGGGGTTTCTAGTGGCCTCTTTGATATTAATAGTAAGAAGTCCTGTGATCCATAGACCTTCCCCATGGGTTTTTGGGTAACTCAGATTAGTTCTCCTCAGGACTCCTGACACTAATTGTTCTCCATGGCATGTGGGAATTTGAAGCTTGTATGTAGAAGAGTTAAAAGACTGAAAAATTTCTCTTGATACTCGGAGAGCTTTTGGAAGTCAAAAGTTTTCATCTGAAAAATTGTTTTCTTGATTGAGAATTTAGGTTTGAAAGTGACTATGGATTATTAACTGGCCACCTGGCCTCTGTTATAGATTATCTGATCTATTTATTTGAAATTTATCTAGTATACTTAAATTTGGCAAGAAATCAGGGCACAAATACAAGTTAGGCGTATTGTTTATTTTTCTAAGTCAATAAAACAATTCATTTTGCCATGGAAAAGTAATCATGGAAAACATTAATACCTGATAGACTATATAAACTTGCTTAACTTTTAGCATAATGATATTTTTCCAGGATGCTGACCGGGTGGTTTTATGTAAGCATGTTTATCTATAGTCCAGTGAATTAAAACTTTTAGGCAAATAAAGGGCATGTATCACTTATTCCTAAGGCAGTTCCTTTTGAATGATTCAGTTATTGAGAACTGTCATTTTGAAATGTTTCAAACCAATTAGGCATCTTTAGATCTAAATCTTCCAGCCTTCAGCTTTAGGGAATACATATTTGGATTTGCAAGAATGTGAAGATTTAGCCAGGTAGTCACTTCCTATTAGCTGTGAGAGGTCTTTGGACTCAATTGACTGGTGCTTGTTAAATACCTGTTTTTTTTTTTTTTTTTGGAGAATTTGTTTCCCTCCTGAAGAGAGAGCCCTCATAGTCAGTGGGACCCGTTGACAATTCTCAAATACTATCTTTTAGGATTCTCATGACTCAGTTTTGTGGTGAACTTCCGGATAAGTATAAGTAATGAAAGATGGTAGATTTTAATTTAAAAGTCTAGATTCTTTTAGCTGTCAGTCCTGTTGCTAGGGTGGGGAGTGGTAGTGGTGTGCTCCTTCAGGTGAGAGTGTAGTGGTGGTGGGCAGAGGGTAAGGCACGTTTGTGAGTTGGCCCCACACCAGGCTTTTCTCTGTCTTCCCTAGGCCATGAGACTGATTACTTACTGTGGTGAGAGAAAACCCTAAAGGCCCACTCCACACTTCTCATTTGCCCTTTAGAAGACCTAGAAGATTGTAGGAACAGATGGATTGCGTGAACTGGTACCTGAAGTTTAGGGAGCCATCAGTTCAATCAGAAGTTGTATTTATTTGAGTGTAGCTGTAAAGATGTGGTAAGAGAAGAAGCAGGGAGATGTCCAATGTCCAATTCCTCTTTGTTTCACTTTCCCACTAAAATCTAAATTCCTTGAAGGCGGAGACCGACTCTTTCCTCTTCTCTTATATATAGTGACTGGCAAACAGACTGGTCAGCAAGTGTTTATTCAACGAATGATTTAATGATGGAGCAGGACATGTTTTGACACTGAGATGCCATATGTTTGAACCAGCTGAAAACGTATGTTTGATTTTAATTTTAAAGCCATGTTCTAATTATAATTGTTATTATTGGAGGCATATGGAACTTTCAATCAAGAGGAAAAACTGAGATACTTCAAATTATGTGAAGATAGAAAGATTTTTCTTGTTTAGTCAAGAATTATTGCATTGCAGGTAGCAGAAACCCACTTAAGCTAGTTTAAACAATAAAAGTTTGAGGAAAAGGAAGGCAGTGTTTCTATACCTCCTGAGCTCCTGGAACCAGCCCTGGGAAGTCATTGGAAGCCCAGGTTGCATTTCTTCTTTTCTTTGGTCTTCCTTCCTTGATATTTCTCTTTTTGTAGAGCCCATCCTATATGAATGATGGATGCTTATTCTAAATTCATGAAGTAATACCAATTTTTTCTTTTAAAATGGCCTGGTCTGCACATTACTTTTTTTTTTCTTCTTTCTTTGAGATGAAGTCTCGCTCTGTGGCCCAGGCTGGAGTGCAGTGGCCCGATCTTGGCTCACTGCAAGCTCTGCCTCCCGGATTCACACCATTCTACTGCCTCAGCCTCCCGAGTAGCTGGGATTACAGGCGCCCGCCACCATGCCTGGCTAATTTTTTTGATTTTTAGTAGAGACAGGGTTTCACCGTGTTAACCAGGATGGTCTCGACCTGACGTCATGATCTGCCCGCCTTGGCCTCTCAAAGTGCTGGGATTACAGGCGTCAGCCGCTGCGACTGGCCTACTTTTTAATAGTAAATTGAAGTTATGGATGATAGATATATTCTTTGAAAGCCGTTTTGAAGCAGATTCCTTTCCCAATGTGTCATGTACAATCTGTGGGGGAGGAAGGTTATATAAAGTAAGAATGACTGCTATTCAACAAAATAGTGATATTCTATATTTTCCTGTCTCTTTTGTTTCTTTCTTTAAAATGAACTTCAGTGAGACATGGCCAAATTGATTTCTTCCCTTAAATCATCTCAGAAACTGTACCCAGACCATTAATTGCTTTGTTCAGCGGACAGGAAATGGTTATATTTGTACAAGTTACACAATCTTAACTAAGTCGGGGCAAAGAACCAAAGAGATCTCTGATCTTTTTTTCCAGCATTAACCTTTCAGTTCCACAAACTAATGCATGATGCATAAACCAGGTTACTAGGGGACAACTACCGAAAACCATAAACTTATTTATCTGAATGACTTTCTTTTAGGGATACTAATAAAAGAAGTTACATGAGGTAATCATGCTGGTGCTGAGGTTAAGTTTGTGCAGTTTCACTTCTTTCTTTAATAGTTTTTTATACATGCAATAAAGGATATGTCCGGAAGCTGATCAGTGCCAGCATTACCATGAAGTGCTCAGTCCCCATTCCTTCTCTCCTTACCCCTCAGCCCCCTTGCAGGCTATATATGTAAATTTATTCTTTTCCTTTTCTAGGGTTGGGAATTTGCCTCCTTTCTTCCTGCCCATGTCTGTTACTGGTCCCTAGTACCCCAATTTCTGCTACTTTTCTCTTTTTTTTTTTTTTCTTTTCTTGAGATGGAGTCTTACTCCATCACCCAGGCTGGAGTGCAGTGGCATGATCTTGGTTCACTGCAACCTCCGCCTCCCAGGTTCAAGCGATTCTCCTGCCTCAGCCTCCCGAGTAGCTGGGACGACAGGTGTGTGCTACCACACCTGGTTAATTTTTTGGATTTTTAGTAGAGATGGGGTTTCACTGTGTTAGCCAGGCTGCTCTTGAACTCTTGACCCCATGGTCTGCCCGTCTTGGCCTCCCAAAGTGCTGGGATTACAGGTGTCAGCCACCACGGCCACTTTTCTCCTTCTTGAAAGTGGGATTTTCTCTTTATCACTGTTTGATTATTGTGTAAGTATTATGATTGGCATTTTGCAATTTGGGCAGAGCTGATTTTATATATATTTCTAAGTCCTTTTTTTTTTTTTTTTGACTCTGCCAAACTCTTAAGTCACTATCCATCCATCCTCTTCTCATTTTGACTTCTATTAGTTATTTCCTGAAGCCCATATCACTGAGAAAAAGTTAATCTTAAGTAAGTGAATAACTTAGGTCTAAATGAGAGGAGAATGAAGAATTAAGTGAATGTAGGCAGAGTCAGAAAAAAATAGTGTCTCTCTTTAAAGCATTACTTTTTGGTGACACCTTCGAAGGTAGTGAAATTGCTGTATGATCTAATGCTACAAAACCACATCTTGCTCTCATAGATTTTAAGATTTCTCTTTTGAATGATCCATTGCTGTCCTTTGTTTACACGTATCTTTTCTCCCTATCTTCCTTGTTAAATACATTTTTTGTTATATACTTTTGAAGCAAGTCTTGATTTTTCTGTATTTTCCCCATTTTTCTTCAAAATAACATAGCATTCTTTGTCTTTTCCTACAGTCTATTCTTTGCTGTTTACATCATCCCCACCCCCCACCACCGAAAATGCCTTCAGAAAGTCCCTACCTTTTCTTGTACATTGTCCTTCCGTTCAGATTCTTGCATTGCTGATACTCTCCCCTGCTACCCATTCTCCTCCCAGCAGTTTTCTTTGATAGTGATATCTGCCTTAGAATTTCCACTGTGCCTGTTAAACTCTTTGAGAAGGGTAATTCTGTCAACGTTTACAACGTTTACTTCTCTTCCCCTTCTAGCCCCAAAGACCCAGGACAGAGTGTCCTCCTCATGCATTCCTGTGACAAGGAATCTGCGCTGAGGTTTCTGCTCTTTCTCTTACCAGGATTCTGAATTGTCTGTGACTGTCTGATATGATTGCTGATCTCTTTCCCGTTCTCAGATAGGACACAAGGATTCCATTTGGAGTTGGCTCAGGACATTCGGATGCCATTATTTTAGTAATGATTACATGATGTTTTGAGGGCAACCTGAAAGAACAGTCTCTAAGAAAAGAGCTGGGTAAAATCAGAGTAGGACGATCTCTAATGCCTTTTCTAGCTCTCTTACTCTGATTTTGTGAATTTATCCTCAGGGATAGTTTTTCACCAGAAGGATGAGACCCTGCTGTGGTCTGAATGTGTCTCTCTCCCCTCACCAAATTTTATTTATGTGTTGAAATCCTAACCCCCAAGGTGATGGTGTTAAGAGGTGGGGTCTTTGGGAGGCAGTTACATCTTGAGTGGATCCCTCATGAATGGGATTCATGCCCGTATAAAATAAGCTTAATGGCCAGGTGTGGTGGTGCAAACCTATAGTTTCAGCTATATGGAAGGCTGCAGCAGTGAGAAGATTGCTTGAGGCCAGGAGTTTGAGACTGCAGTGAGTGAATAACCCCTGCACTCCAGCCTGGACAACATAGAAGACTCTTTCTCTTAAAATAGATGGCTAGATTAGATAGATAGCCTAAGGGAGCCTGATTGCCCCCTCCACCATGTGAGGACACAGCAAGAAGGCACCACCATCTGTGAACCAGGAAAGGAGCCCTCACCAGACATCTGATTTGTTGATGCCTTGATTTTGGACTTACCAACCCCGAGAACTATAAGAAATGAATTTCTGTTGTTTGTAAATTACCCAGGCTAAGATATTTTGTTAAAGCAGACCAGATGGACTAAGTCAGCCCCCTAATGACCTGTTTTATATTTTAATTTATAATCTATCTGCTGCTTAATTTTGTGATTAGTGGCCAGCTACTATTTACTCATCTTTTATTCATCTGTAAAACTCCTGTCATCTTTTATTCATCTGTAAAACTCCTGTTAACTTGTCTTTGTAAGAAACAGTTTGCTAACAGATGAGTTTTCAGGTTGTTCAGTTTTAAAATGTTTTACTTAAAAGGATAAGACAGCTCCCCAATGCAAAGAGTGACTTCAGAGATAACTTTTCATTTCTTTGAAATGTAGGAAGTCCATAGCCATTGCTGGCTGCTATCTTTCTACTCAATATGCTCCAGGGGAAGATTATCAAATTTTAGCCTCTGAGCTTTCAAGTGGCGCTTATTTTCAATGGTGTATTACATGAAACTGGTTTTTGGGCTCTTCAAATTTATATTTTTGGCAAAGGTGTTGGGAGATTTGATTTCATTCATCATCACTGTAGTACCTGGCACATAGTAGGCTCTCCATTTGGTGTGTTGGATGAAAGAAGAAAGTGATTCTGCTAGTCAGTGGGGTTTAAAAAGAAGTGTCCACCAACTTTATGGGTCACCATTGATCTTGAGTTCAACTCTGTTGCCCTGTATATATGTGACCCCATGTTTATTGCAACCTTATAGGCATCTCAGGCACTGCTGGGAACAGACTCTTAAAATTTCTGGTAGGGGCCACATGCGGTGGCTCACGCCTGTAATCTCAGCACTTTGGGAGGCCGAGGTGGACGGATCATGAGGTCAGGAGTTCGAGACCAGCCTGACCAACATGGTGAAACCCCGTCTCTACTAAAAATACAAAAAATTAGCCGGGCGTGGTGGCACATGCTTGTAGTCCCAGCTACTCAGGAGGCTGAGGCAGGAGAATTGCTTGAACCCGGGAGGCGGAGGTTGCAGTGAGCCAGGATCACGCCACTGCACTCCAGCCTGGGCGACAGAGCTAGACTCTGTCTCAAAAGAAAAAAAAAGTTTTGGTAGACTCCTATGTGCCATTTCTGGAGAACTGAAACAGTAGTGGACATCCTTAGGATTCATTTTAGTGTAGATATGGCTGTTTCTAGTGAAACTTGAAGTCCTACTTCCTGTGTGTGAAATAGGGTAAAAGGATCACACTCGAAAAAATGCCGCCTTGTGCAAAAGTGACAGGATCGCTGTTCAGTTTGGAATATTGGAAAGTGGGCAGATTTATTTGGAAGCACTTTGTTTTTACTACATGTGTAAAACTCCAGGGAGCATTGAATAGGATATGAGGTGCTCCCTTTGGCTGTGCATTAGCAACGTGGCAGTTACTGATCTGTCATTTACTTTGAAAAGGAATTACAAAGTTTTGGCCTCATGCCTGGAGTAGCTCCAGATGGTCAGAAAAGATTTTTGTACTGAAGTCAGAAAGTATATTGCAGTGATAGAATTGGGCTTGTCATGTTTATATTAGAACACTGGCTTCCCACTTTATTTCTCTGCAAAATTTTTCTTTCTTTCTTTTTTCCCAGAGAGTGAGGGGAGGAAATTGTTTCTTTAGAGTTATGAGTCTAATATTTGGAATACTGTTGTTCTTGGTGATAGTGATGTAGAGGTATGATATGTGGTTAATGTAGTTACTTTGTCAACCTAAGTACCCCGATACTTAGTATTTACAAAGGATGCATGAAGACTTGGAATGTAGAGATACACCAAGACCATTGTAGCTGATGTAGAAATGCAGGTAAGAAGCTTGATTTGGGTAGCATTTGCTTGTCTGATAACCTGGCTGTTAGCCCACAACTGTTATTTAGTAGCTTTCCAAACTTCATCTGTTCTGCCTTCCCATGATTCTGTAGTTGCTAGGGGTAACAGTGACGTTTGGGTGTTTAGTATGGGTGGGAGGTGG